GGAGCAATTCCAAAGTGTATTCTTGCTCTCTTTTGTTTCATGACCTGGTGAAAGTACCAACAACAACAAACCCAATGTAGTCCCATAAGCGGGGTCTGGGGAGTGTAGAGTATATATAGACTGACCTTACCACTACATTGAGAAGGTAGAGAGGCTGTTTCGGAAAACCATCGGCTTGAGTAACGAACATCAGAGAGCTAAAAGAAAAATACAGAAGTAAAGATGAAGTACGTTTCCTTTTATTGACTATCTTATAATTCCACTTGTTGCCCCAAACCAAACATAGTCTTGGTTATTCGATCATCCTCAATGCAACTGGCTCCACAAAGTTACCAAAATTCTTGCTGAAGAAATTAGAATCTAGCTTCCATTCTCACCTCCTATCTTTGCATTTCCATATTATTATAAATCTACTAATCTGTTTTCTCTTCCCCTTAGTGTGCCCTTTGGTATTTCCTAACATGAAAAATATTACAAAGGCTTGTGGAGATGGGATGAATAACCAAACAAAATGCTGTAATACTGTCGAGAGGTATGTGTCTCACTTACAGAGGCAGAGCTTTGTCACCAACTTGCAAGCTTTGGATTGTGCTGCCTCGCTTGGACTTAAGCTACAGAAAGACAATGTTAGCAAAAATGTCTACAATCTCTGTCACATTAGCCTCAAGGATTTTTCTGTACAAGGTCAGTTTTTATTTGAATGCTTTTGGTGCATTGTACAGCATACAAATACCTTGAGCTGACTTCAAATTTTGATCTTGTCATGTTTGTGGCATCTGGTTATCTTCAAATGTCTATACTACACCAGTTACACCAGAAGGTAATAAACCTACTTTATGTGTTTGCTCGTCCATTCCTATACGCCTTTTCTTTTTTACTTTGTTGTTTTGTTCCTTAGTTATCACATCATGTTACCTTCTTTGACAATTAATACTCCTGATAATGAGATATTAAAATTTTCGATTAGGATACCTTGGAAGATGTTGATCGAGATGCTTTGATAGATATGATTGATTATGAACTCAAAGAACAGTAAGACTGACAGAACTTTTCGGTAAAAAAGAACGTTGAATTAATGTTAGCTGTACAGAAGAACAATTGATTGAATTAAATTGGATATCTTGGAACCTCGACTAGTGAAGTGTGAAACTGCTTATGAGAAGAGAACTGTGTATTTACTCGTTAAATATGTATTACTCCAATCGTTTCAATTTGTTTGTCTGTACTTTTTTTTATTTGAAATTGGTAACTGGAAGTCTTACTTTCCTTTTTATTTTGTTTAAAAAAGAATGCCTCTTTTTTTTTTTTGGCAATTCTATCTTTCCACATGGCAATTCGCATATTTACAACCACAAGATTAAAGAGCATTTTCATACATTCTACGTATCTTTAGTTTAAGACCATAAGATTCAAAAGTATTTCTTACTTTCTTAAACTCCATGCCAAGTCAAAGTCAGTCAAACAAATTGAAATGAAACGGAGGAAGTACATGTTCATTTCCGTTTGCGAGATTAGCCACCTTGTATACAACAAGTCTATGACATATCTTTACCTGCCTCATCCTTTCTTTTTTATCTAAAATTTTTACAGCACTAGTAAATTATTTCCCCATGTAGTTTGGGATTGAGGCCTAGTTGTTACCGTTGTTGTACTAGTTAATAATTATTTGTTGTTCTTTATGTTGGAATAGTTTCGGGGTGTCTTTTGTCTAGTTTACCATCAGATGCAATACTGGACAAAACTTTGGGGATCGGCTTTGTATGCGACTTAAATGACAACATTCCGGCTCCTTGGCCATCTATGTCTCAGTTACCAGCTTCATCATGCAAGAAGTGTATGTTGGACGTATTCCTTCTTATTAAGTTTCACTTCGCAAAAAGTTTTCTTCTTATATGACTGGTCACTGATGTATATCGGAACTTCCTACTTTTGCAGCTGTGAGAATTCCTGCACTTCCTGCTGTAGCATCGGGTCAAATAAGTAAGAATATTTACTTACACATTTGTAGTTTTTACCTTCTTAAAGTAGGGGTAAGACTGCGTACACACCACCTCCAGACCTCACTTGTGGGATAACACTAACGCCATCTTAAGTTGTTTGTATCCTACTCATTTCTTAGGGCTGTTCATTGACACTGATTTCTCGTTAATTCGTCAGGTTTTAAAGGATTAAATATATGGTCATACCTTCTGCTGGCGGCCTCGATGATACTGGAAGTCTGCTGTATATATAATGCTGCCATTCTTTCTTACTAGCAGTATTTCGTGGAAGCGTAAAATCTTGACCAGAAAGGGAACTGTCTGAAGATGTCTCATTGACATCAAAAGTTCAAAATATACAAATGCAGGAAAATCATGCACCTAAGTAAATTGATTCCAAGATCAATTTTGTGACAAAAAAATTTACTATGTTCTTGCATGTTTTGGTAATAAGAATTGTAAATAATTAGACGGTAGACTTTTCATGTAAATATTTTCAGGTGACAAAAACTTTGCCTTTGTATAATTTGGAAATCCTGATGAAGCATTTTTAACAGTATATTTCTATGAGTTAGTTTTCAAGGTTGCATAATAATGTTCTTTTCACATTCTACTTGGCATAAAAATAATACTCCTTCTATTCCAATATATGTGGCATTTTTTGGATTTTGAGATTCAAACAAGTCTATCTTTGACCGTAAATTTTTAAATATCTTTTAATTATTTTGAATTGTCAATTATTGTGATTTATAGTAATTTTTGTGTAGTTTACAAATATATAAATTTCATTTTAAAAAATTTGAAGATTTCACGCGCAAATTTCTGGTCAAACCTAAACTGTTTGATTCTCGAAAAATAAAAAGTGTCACATAAATTAGGATAGAGGGAGTGCATAATTTTCAAACACCTCAACTTTTTTAAAAGAAAATATTCGAATAGATTGTATCATTTACCGTCATTATAAAATGTCAGTTTAATCAGAAAAGTAGGGCATATATGGATTAGAATTTAGAGCTACTATAACAAAACAAAAATTATTAAATAATAAATAGAATGAGAAAGAAAAGAAGATAACGACAAAATAACAATAACATACCCAGTGAAATCCCATAAAATGAGATATGGAGAGGGTAGAGTGTACACAAATTTTACCACTAATTCATGGAGGTGATAGGAAAAATAATGACACGATCACGCTAAATCGATCGTTCCTTCGTTATCCAACAACACTGCATGAGAAAATGTAAAAGTAGACTCTTCAAACTTTACTCGTAGAAGTGGAAGAAAATGTAAAAAATATTTTCTTTCTCAACCTCTTTAATTTCCTCCCAATTTTGATTTTCAACTTACAAAATTTCACTTTCAACCAATATGATGATTTTTTTCTCTTAGACACAATAGAATCTGCTTTCTTTAATGATTTATAAATCAAGAATTGTGCTTTTCTATGTTTAATATCTTCTTCGTCTTCATTTTCAATTTTTGAATACATATATGGTCGATTGAAAAAAGTGTTCATTTTTTTTTGGATAGTGGAAAGAAATGAGTAATTTGGAGAGTTTGAGAAAATGGATGAAATATTTATAGTGAAAAAAAAAAGAGTTCAAATGTTCAATGAAATAAATTTAATTGATTCTATAAAAATTAAAAAGCGTACATTATGGAAGAAATTAGGGACGATTAGTGCATGTCCTTTTTCAGAGTTTTAATTAATTTTGAAAAAGCTAGGGGGTCGTTTGGTTTAGAGTTTGTTTGGATTAACTAATCGTAAATAACTAAAAAGTATTTTGTAAGTGTCAAAATTGATACTATAAATAAGCAAATACATGATTAGATAGAAGTGTTGAAACTGATAATAAATAGTTGATTTGCTTGGTAAAAATGTGTTTAAGTTGTTCTTTTGTTAGAATGACTAAAATACCCTTAATTTTTTCTACAAAAAATTATAAATTTAAGAGTTATCCTTTGTAAAGAAAATAAGAAGTGGTCGATACAAATTACAAAGTGAGGAGGAAGTAAGCATATAGACCTTTTAATATTTTACCAAACGAGTAAATAAACTTAGAATAATTGTAATTATTAAGTATGTTTGACCAACTCATAAGCTTAACCAAATACGTTCTTAGAAACAAATTAGGCAGAAATTATAATGTAGGATTGAAAAAGACTCCAAAGGAGTTTGAGGAGATTTGTAGGGATAGTTTTGTCATTTTGAATATTGCATCCATATATAATTAACCGTGATGTTATTTTTATATGAAGTATGGGATAGTAAAAGTTTGTCACAGAGAATATTTATACGAAATTATATTAATTTATCGTAATTAAGTGATTTAATGAGGTAACGATATACATTAATTAGCTATGATTGAATTTTGAATGAGATAACTCTATGTTCAATCGTATATATGCCAATATATCTATTGGAAAATAAATCTCGAAGATATCTTGAATAATTTTTGGCCAAAATAAAATTACGTAAGTGTTATTTCATATTTGGTAATTTCTTCAAATGTTGAATGACATATTTTTTCTATAAAAGACTTATTACTTAAATCATTGTTTATTCATACATGTTTCATCTTTATGACAACTTATTCATATTAATTGAAATTGATATGATTTGGTGTATGTATAAACATATCTTATATGAAAATTAACTTCCATGTTTAGTATATTTGTTGGACAATCTCGATTTCAATTCTACAAGTAAGATCTAGAAAGGATGGTGTATACGTAGCTTTACCTCAACATTGACAAACTCATAGAATAATGTAGCTTGGTTGGAACGAGCTTTCCAAAAACCCAACCCAAGTTAGGGTCAATCACATAGAATGAAGGGGACGAGGCCCCAACTCAAGCTAGAGTCAATCACATAGAATGAAGGGGACGAGGCCCCAACCCAAGCTAGGGTCAATCACATAGAATGAAGGGGACGACCCTAATGTTATGTAGGCTTTGCCAACTTATTGAATTGCGGGTAGAGAAAAGCAGACATGGGGGCTCAAGTCAGACACAACGTAACTAAGAGAGTCATTCTATTTAGAGCGAGACAAAATAAGAAAAGCACAAACAATCTGGCATACGAGCAGATTGGTTAAACAATGACTACTTCACTTGATGAATGAGCAAGTCCACTAAATTCGAAACTTTCACACTCTGCAATGACCCGCATATCTGAAGTTGATTCTAAGACGGCTAAACTTTTAAGACCTTGCAAAACATATATAGAGCTCTTGTTCCATGGTCTACGTTATTATATATCTCAATTACATTCTTTTGTATCCTTGAGAAACTGAGACCACCACGCGATTTATCACGTGCCAATAGCTTAGGCGCTCACAAATAGTCCGTCGCCTTTTAAGTTCAAATTGAGTTGTTACCAAATTTGTTTACATCAAACCTTCCTTATGAGAAGGAAAATCTTCTGATCAAGCTCAAACTTAGCTGCAATGGATGGATCTCCTCTCAGCTGCATCAGAAGTCCTCCAAATGAAACAAAAATGTCTCTGAAGACAAATAAAAACCAGTAAATCCCTTGTTATATCAGTAAAATAGTCGTGATTTGCTAATTGGAAACCAACAAATCGAGTAGTCTCAACAACCAGAACATAGACAACTCTCAAACAATATCTTTAAATATTAAAACTGAAAAAGAATATACATTAGGCTAAACCGGCAAAACGTCTAGCCCAAAAACAAAAACAGAGAAAAACCAAGTACAGGAAAGTACATTTATATTCCACAAATTAAACAACAGCAAACCACACCATACCCAGTGTAATCACACAAGTGGGGTCCAGGGAGGGTAGGATGTACACAGACATCACCTTTGTGGGGTAGAAAGGATGGACCCTCAGCTCAAAAGCAAAGTTCACGAAGCAGGGTTGCAAGAAAATAAATTATATTCCACAAATGAACACAATAGAAAAAAAAACTCTCACTAGAAAATAAGTCACATAAATCAAATTGAAATCTAATCTTAGCAAATGGGCGACCTAAGAAGTCAATCTAAGCCAACTTTTCGAAACAAGAAGCAAAGCATATATTGCTAAGGTGTGACAGACTGACAGTATTGCACCAATGAAAAGGAAAGAACATCCAGAAATATAAATACATGTTCATGGAACTGATTATGAGATAAGTTATCCAAACGTACGCTTTAACATGCTTCCCCGAACCTTCCTCTGAGATCCTATATAGCTTCCCATGCATGACATATTCGAACTTGTCAGCAAGTGATTTCTTGTTACCCTGTCATCAGGTTGCAACACCATTAAGTACCATGAGGATTTCTAAGCGTTTGAAACACCAAAGTAGAACAAGAATGAGAAGGCAAACCAAAAAAGGAATAAGGAAATCCATACAAGCATTTGCCTAGCAGTTATGTCAGGCTTTATATCTTTAAGCATTTTTATCTCAAAAAAAAAATATCTTTAAGCATTAAGGTGTTATAAAAAGAAAAATCAAGTTTCATATTAAGGACTTCCATGAAAAGTAACTTCTTGAAAACATACTTTAGAGCAACAAGTACGCCTCAATCCCAAGCTAATTGGGGTCAATTATATGAATCCCCACAAGAGACTCATTCTACTGACACAGATCTCCAAACAAACTAAAAAAATTACTAGCAAAACTTAAATTTTTTAAAATATTCACTAAAGGCTCATGGATGTTAGAGGCTTAAAGCACCTTCAGTGTAATACATTTGACGGATGTTTTTTGACGTAAAAGTTGCATACAGAAGGTGCTCAATGAGCCGTGCATTTTCACCATTTTGGTTATGAAAATTCTGACAAACCCATTTGTTGGATTTGTCCCTCAATCATTGACAATTCGATCAAGAATTCCCTTTTTTTGCTCCTTTTCCTTCATTTCCGGTTCCTCTGTCTTTGAGTCTTTCTCAAAAGAAAGGGAAATCCTAAGAATATTTCAAGGATCAAAAAACATTTCACAATCCTCCAAATAGCACAATAGATGGATCCTTTTGTGCTGATTCGTGATTGGATACATGCCAATACCAAACGATTATCACCCTTTCACTGGCAGATACAATTTGTTTGTCCTGTCCATTATTTTAGAAACCAATTGAACAGCCATCACAAGGCTATATCATAAGGAATCACACCTCCGTGGAACAAAAATGTGTCTATGACACGTGAAAACAGACACCACAAAAAAGTTGATATATTCTCTAGTTTCTATTTCCAGTTAACAGTTGAACTATATAATAGATGCGATGAGATTTTTAAACAATTCCAGATAAATAAGGTCAACAACAACAACAACATACCCAGTGAAATTCCACAAGTGGGGTTTGGGGAGGGTTGATTGTACGCAAACCATACCCCTACCTCGTGGAGGTAAAAAGGCTGTTTTTGAAGGACCCTTGTCTCGAGTACAACATATCAAAGTAGGTATTAAAAAGGGAAAGTGTGATAATCTAAACACAATAAACAACAAATGATGATGGAACCAAAAGCAAAACACTACAAGAATACGGCTAAACCCCGCAAAAAGCAAGACAACACTTCAGTCCTACTTACCTTCTACCATAATACGCAACCTCCACACCCTCCTATCTAAGGTGATGTCCTCAGATATCTAGAGTTGCGCCATATCATGTCTAATCACCTCTAGATAGACAAGGTCACAAAACCTAAATATTTTCTTAAAGGGGATCACTTGTTCGAGACGCATATTTTTTTCCTTTTGAAAACAAAAACTGTACATTCTAAATGTCTGTATATAGCTAGTTTTTTAACAAAAGTACATATATTTTCGCGTCATCAAAAGGCACTTGATGTTTCTTACTTTGACGAAAGTGATTCGTCATGGTAAGTTGAACACCCTCAAATTTGACTGGATTATATTGTTTGCATTTTCAAAATCTCAGAGACTTCAAGTTAGCTTCAAGCACCATATTTTATTTCTTTACACAAATCACAAAATTAAATTAAATCAGACAGGCTAACACTTGCAAATCAACTAGGATAGAAATAAACCACTACAGCAAATTACCTGAATGAAATAACCAGTATCTGGAGTCCCATCCAAGTTCAAAGTAGAAGCTAAAACCATCATAAATTTATCCTTCACGCGCATAGGATATATTTCAGTGTTTATATCCAGTAGCATGAACATATCAAACTGCTCACTCCGTGCTTCAATGCGATTAACTACAAAATGCAAGTTATATTCGATCACATTATTTGCAGCAACAACAACAAAAAAAGTGTTGCTGCACTTTGATAATTCATGGTGACAATGATAAACTAAACATGGTTTTGCCAAGAAAACTGCATGAACTTTATATTTTATTGCTCCCTCGTATGTGCAATCAGCAATACACTTATCAGTACTCTAGTGCTCAATGCTCCCAATAGCTATTTGGTCAGTCCATGGCCGGCAGAACCACTACACAACCCCATGTCCCTTCCTAAGCCCCCTTATTGCTCACGAGGAATAAAACTACAAGGTACAACTACATAAACGTAAAGTTGAATCACCTATAGTGGAAACTATTGCAACAAAGGTCACATAAGAGTCCACAACTTTTTCTCAAAAGGCAGCTCTCACTGTAAGTACGTCGTCCAGCAAATATGAATAGACTAAGAAATTCATTACAGATAATCAACACTTTTTCACATTCATCTGGAATATTTCCAGTCAACTACATGAATACTACCCTTTTCTTTTTCTTATTAAACGCCACCATCTTTTCCTTAACCTTTTATTTCTCCGAATTGCATTAGTCCAGAGGAGAATGTCATCCCAGGTCTACAGTAAACAAACAATTTAGTCAATCCCCTTCAACTTATCATTCAAGTAGTGTACCACAACCATCTTTTCACTTCCACTTGAAATAAAATTACAATGAAAAAGGTCTTAAGTTCAAACCCAAGCACAGTTGATTCCTTCCCATCTGTCCTAGCCTTGATGGACATAGTTACTTCTTACTTGTTCTGGGTGGAAGGTGACAGTTATCGGTGCACACAAGCTACCCAAAACCACGGTCATCAAAAAAATGATTTGCATTGATAAAAAGTTTTAAAAGGGCCGCACTTTAAAGGATGTGATATAGACCGTCTACTCTAATACTCTAATACTCTAATGCAAGCATGAATAACTGCTTCCACAACTCAAACTCGTTAACCTATAGATTACAAGGAGACAACTTTACTGTTACTCCGAGACTCTCTTCCATAGATAAAAAGTATCTAGATGATTAATTCAACATTACAAATAAATCATTGATATCTTCTACAGATTATGTGTTGGCTCACAGTTCAAAATTCATTCCATTACTAATGATGATTTTGCATACCTCGATCAAATTTTTTTCCATCAGGATCTTTCTGAGTGACTGTAAATATATCTTCAAACAGAGTTTCAACCATTTTGAACAACCTACAAAAATCACACCCATAATAAGCCAAAAGTATACAGAATCTACTCTCTAATAACTAAAATTTGGTAGAAAAAATTGTGCAAAAATCATTTCTACAGTTATCTAACCTCAAATTTATGAATTTTGCTTCTAGAAAAAATCACTTGAAACAAAAATTGGGTTAGGATTTAGGGTTTAGGAGAACTTACAGGTGTTAGCAGTAATGGCGACTAGAGGAGGAGGGTTTGCCAATTTCTTCGTACTCTTTACCAAAAATAAAAATATTGGTATAACATATTAAAACTATATATAAGTAAGATTTAAATAATATTTTTTATATTTATATAAATTTAAAGAAAAACTTGTGTAAATATGTCATCGAATTATTATAGGGAAAGACATAAATTCCCCTCAAATTTGTACCGAAAAGTTAGGTACATGCTTCAACTATTATAATTAGGGGTGCACATCGGTCGGTTCGGTTCGGTTTTAGGTGTTATTGGTTCGGTTTATCGGTTTTCGGTTTGTAAATACATCAAACTGATAACCAAACCAATAACATATTTCTTATCGGTTTTTGGTTAATCGGTTTATGGTACTTAACGGTTCGGTTTTCGGTTTAACCAATAAGAAAATACTCATATATATTATATACACGATAAGAAAATTTTCAAATAAACCATATGATCTTTCCAACATTTGGCATGAAAGTAATAATCATAAAAGTAACAATCATTTTTCTTGCAAGTTTAGACACTAGACACATTCAAAGGAAAAAGTGTGAAAGTAACAATCGTTTAACCATTAACAAAAAGTGTGAAAGTAACAATCATTTAACCATTAACAATAAGACTAGTAAATTTAGTATAGTCTTATTGGGTTATCGGTTTAACCATTAAAAATAATTATAAAACCGAAAACCGAACCAATAACCCAATAAAAAATTTTGCAAAACCGTT